ACTATATTAAAAGCACAAAGGCCCTTAGCGAAATGTCGTTTGCCTTTTTTACCCTTTAAAAATAGAAGTCACACTAGATAAAATAGTCATTTGCTTATTTTTCTAATATTAAAAAATAGTCATTTAATTAATTTCCTAATATTTAGGAGTTTATATAATAATTTTTTCCTTATTTGAACTGTATTAACTATTCTGACATTTAGAACTTTAAAATTATTAATATTTTACCTTATATAAATTTTACACTTAAATTATTTATAAATAATAAATAAAATAAATAAAGAGGAGAATAAGAACATTAAAGAAAGAGGAAGTGCGTTTGGCTTTGGATGACATGGAAGTGGTCCAATTTTTTGAAAACCTTTATACGTTCTGATTTATACGAAGCTCTTCTATATTTGAATATTTAAAAATATATAGAAGTCTATTCCACTAATAATTGTATTATATATTATAATTTTAGTTTTCAAAGCTTTTAAATTAGCAATTACAATTATTTGGAATATTCACTACAACAAATATAATTTTTATCCACGAAATTATTAGCTACGATGAAAAATTCGTCACTAATTGTTTATTTTCTGCGACAAAAGTTACATTTCGTATACAAATACACGAGCCACATAGTTTTAGTGACGAAACGTGAATTTTGTAGCAAAGTTTTGTCTACAAAAATTTCCCTCCAAAAATATGGTGGCGCCATTTTTTTAGGCAATCTTTAGCTACGAAGTAAAATTATTAGTGACGAATTATATTTGTCACTGATCCACCAAATTATTAGTGACAAAAAATTATTCGTCTTGAACAATAGTTACATTTAGATACGAAAATGTTTCGTCACCAAAAATAGATGATTAAATAACGACAAATTGAATTTGTAGTAAAATAAAGTGAACTTTGGCTACGAATTTTTGTACTTAACTGTGACCATTATTTTTGTCACTAATAATCTAAAAAATCAGTGACAATCTTTAAATTATCTCCATGTAATCTGCAATTTAGCTACCGCAAAGTTTTTGTCTTAAAATAATACAATATTTAAAAAGGCTACGAAATATATTCGTCACAAATTATTCAATTTTCAGTGGCAAATCACATTATATATTTAAAAATGTACGAGTCACATGTAATTCGGTAATTAAGTATAATTTTTGTAGGGACAATAAATGTATCATGGATATTCATTAATTTCACTGCGAATGCTTTTCCTTTTGCATCATAAGTTCAATTATTGTTTATAATTGGATTAGTTAATCAGGTCTAATTTATAAATTTAACTAGTTACTATGTATGTACATTCTTAGTTTCGTATATTTAAAAAAAAAAGTGCAATCGTTCTAAAATATTGATATTCAAGTAAGATGGGATTATATTTAATTTGAAATTTAGAGGCAATTTCATGGAAGAAAGTTTTTATGCTAGTTAATTTCCTATATGAAATTAAATGAACTTGACACTTTTCAATAAAGATTAAAATGTGTTCAAAGTTATAAAAAAAAAAATCCTTAAATTCCTAACATAGATAAAAATATAAATAATAAGTTATTAATATTCCTAGCACAAAATAAAAGAGGAAAATACCTATTCTAGAAGGAAT